GTAAATTCCACCCGAATAGCTTCTTCCACGAACAACTGCTTTGTGGAACTGACTCCCAAGAGGATGCTTCCCCAGACCACTAAAAGCTTAACCTGTTCAAGTCTAGAGTTAACTGTTATGTTCCGCAAATAGCTCCATAAACTGTGCGTATTACTCTTAAAACCCTCTGCCTCGAGTGGATCCTGGGCTTTGTGCGGGGTGATCATATATATATATATATATATATATATATATATATATATATATATATATATATATATTGTGTGGATCTATTACGCACGAACATACATACATACAAAAATACAAATCACATACAACGCCAAGCATTCATTGGACAATTGGATTATAGACAATTTACAAATCACAGCAATGCGACAATTTTGTAATCGATCTATTTTTATGCAGTCAGTTTTGTGCACTTTTGGGAGAAACGGATCACAGAAGCTTTCTTAAGTTTCCACAAAGCTCGCTCGCTGATTGGTCTATGCCAACCAATCAGATCATCTGCACGTGAAGAATAATTCTTCTCGCGAAGCGATCTGAAGCCTACAGTCACTTATTTAAGCAAGAGTTTTCTAACCCTCATTGGTAAGATTTCAGCTGCCAAACGAATCCACGACAGTTGAAACCATGCGCCAACCTTCTCACTCACACACACCACTCACATGCTGAACATACCTTGTATATACTCACATAATCTTTTCTTACACAGCAAAATCTTTTAAGAATAGTCATTATAAGAGACTCTCATGAACATTATTCCAGTGAACTTTGAAATACTAAAATAACAGTTAAAGAGAGACAACTCTTCTTTATTTCAACCTTTTCTTACTTAAATGCATGCTTTCTTTCACATCATTGTTTGATATTGTACATCTTGTTAAATACATATTATATGTGTAACAATGTCTTTTGATTATCCTTTTCTGCATAAAATATTTATGGGTTAAAGTGTTCAATATCTGGGATAGAGCTTATTTAAACATAAAAGTAAACACTGAAATCGACACTCAGTGGTGACAGACTGTTTCATGATTATATGTAATCGTCAGGACCTATGCGTTGTGTTTTTGCTCGATGATTTATATATACATGTCAGTGATGTATTATGGGTAGTCTATTGCATTGTGCGTAGTGTATTGTATTATTCTATCAGTTATTTTGGTGGGCGGTAAGGGTTAAGTTTTCCATTTATTCTAGAAGATATTCAGTGGAAACAATTGTAAATCCGGGTACAGTTTTAATCTGTCTTGAATTTGACGTCTTTGTTCACCAGTTCTAAACTTCACTGCTAACACCCGTCATGCCACGCCCATCATAGCTAACCACCGTCATTCCCTTCGAAATTCATTGTTCCACTCGAGCAGATTTTTCCCATGAACCGCTGCTTTGTGGAACCGACTCCTAAGAGGATGCTTTCTTGGTCATTACGATTTAACCTGTTCATGTCTAGGGTTAACCATTACCTTCCGCAAATAGCCCCGTAAACACTGCTCCTTATTCTTGAAACCCTCTACCTCAAGCGACTCTTGGGCTTGGTACGGGGTGAAAATCACACACACACACACACACACACACACACACACACACACACACACATATATATATATATATATATATATATATATATATATATATATATATATAAAAGTGAACATTGAAGTCAACACTCAGAGGTGACAGGCTGTTTCATGCTAGGCGCAATCGTCAAGCCGCCGATTGCGTCTAGCATTGTAAATCGGAATTCTAAACTTCAATATTCACTTTATATTATATTTACATACGCTCTATCTCTGATATTGAGCACTTTATCCCTAAATATAGCACACCTTAAAACTACATTTCTTCATATATATATATATATATATATATATATATATATATATATATATATATATATAGTTAGTTGGATTGATGTGAACTAAATATGTTAGCTCTATCACTGAGCGCTTTCCAATAAGTACGCATATATAATATATAAATAATATATATATTAATTTGCATATATATATATATATATATATATATATATATATATATATATATATATATCACATATATATATTGAAGTCAGCACTCATTGTTGGCGACGGTCTGTTTCTTGTTTATATGTAATCGTCAGGACATATGCGTTGTGTTTTTGCTCGATTATTTATATGTACAGGTCAGTGATGTATTGTGGGTAGTCTATTGCAATGTGGGTAGTCTATCGTATTATTATAATTGTTATTTTGGTGGGCGGTAAGGGTTAAATTTTTCAATTATTCTAGGGGATATTGAGTGGAAATAATTGTAAATCCAGGTGTATTTTTGTCTATATATAGTGTTGTTTGTCAACTGTTTTTAATTTATTATTAATTATTTTATTGTTGGTTTCTATTAACACCTTTACTTGTGTTTTTGTTTGTTTTTGTTTACTATTTATTTATTTATTTACTTATTCATTGGTTTGGATTTTTTTTATTTAAACAAAAATCAAATCACACCTAAAATATCATGGAACATAAAGAAAATAGCATCAGCCTACAACAATAAATCCCACACCTGTAATCTCTGTCTCTAGAAGAAAGTAGCCATAATTACCTTCCCAGAGCCAAACAAACTACTAAATAAACGATCAGAACTCATTTCAAAATGCAGCCACGAAAACAAATTTTTACTAGGTTACTTCAAAATCGAAAACTCAAAACGAACAAGAATAAACAAAAATAAGTAAATAATTACCCCACATAGCGTCTCCATTCTCGTTCATATCGATATGCACCGAAAGCTGGGAAAGGTTCGTTGCATGTTCACAAGTTAACGAAAGATGAAAATAAATACCACGTCAAGAAATGACAATATGATCCCTGTTTCCAATAACATGAAATAGGTGTTTTTTTTTTTGTTTTGTTTTGTTTTTTTATTCAAGGCTTTTCTTGCTCGGTCTGGGTGGCAGTTAGGGAACAACTTCTGCTATAGGAGTCTGACAGCTCAGTTCTCCCCAATCAACTCTTAGACCATCTACCAATCTTGACGTGTGGTTGATAATACGGATGGGCGGCCTCGGAACTACTCGAAAGACAGTCTGTCCACCGCCAAAAGGCGGACCAGAAGTGATTTCCCGATTCCAACCGTAACTGTTATTATCAGCCAGCAATCAACTTATATCCAGTGTTCGTGTCACTTGATCTTTAAAATCCCCTATCCACTACTCATGTACTCTTCCGATCCCCTTTGGACAAAGTGGATGCCACTTAGGAAATTTAAAAGATCCAATTACTGGCTATAAATCAGAAACACACGTGATCGATATAAGATCACGCTTACCGCTTTTACGTAGGCGTCCCAATCATAGTCTCTCTCTGTCTGGCTCCGGTCTTCGGGTCACATTGAAGCGTGAAACTGACTGTCACAATTAAGTGTTGATTTCCATGTCCACAAATGCCGGCATTGAGAATTCTTCCTTACGGTAAAAGTTAACACATGAAACAGACGATTTCTTGCTTTATTCTTAATTGTTATGATATAACACGCACGTCCCAGGCGATCCTGGATCAAATCTGGGTTGCAGCAGCCAGATAGTATGGCCACTACCACACGCTGCCTATACCAGGAGATGTAGTCACATCCGCGGTCCGGTCCTCGGGGTCGTAGGACTACGAGTCAATCACATGGTCAACCCTACGCTGGACAGTATCGTCGTTGGTCAACTGTCTGTTGTTCTCTGGCGGATTCGATTCACACCAATCTGCCCATGCTGTGTTCTTTGATCTCAGAACATTGAAGATCGAATGCCGTCGGTAATTCGGAGCGCTGGTTCGAGCCACGGCGAAGCTGTATTATGAAAGAAATAAAAACGGAAGATTCGTTTTAAATTGGTTTATATAGTTCCTGGTACAAAAACCAACCCTTCCCTCTTAAATTTCTATAGTGACTCTTTGCTATTCTAAATCTTGGAACGGGGTTCAAATTAGCGAATTCTGCCGGCAACTGGTCACGCAGGATTTTGGAAGCAGCTCGTCTGCTCTTCGCTGCTCATCTCTATCTAACCGCCTGAGTCGCCAACGTAATCTGCTTATATCGAGTCCGGCCCAAGACTGACGTGGGGTCGACTCGTCTGGAGATTCGGTAATTCCAACTTCTGGATTTAGTTGCAAGTATTGTTCCGCCTTTATAACTTATGCTTTTTCTTCCTTATGCCTCGCACCATTAGTTACAAATTGGCGGAGGTTCATTTTCTCCTTTTCGCCTCCTCTCTCGGTATTCCATCTAAGATCATCCCCACGGGGGAGGTTTTGACTGTCTTTTTGACAATTCTGATTTTTAAGCCAAGTAGGCGAAGAGGGGGTCTTATTTTAATCATTGATTTACCATAACAAATATTATTTCCCAGGGTTTGGTCTGGTTTATTCTAGTGAACCCCACCCAATCATTCCGCTCCTACAACGCGCAGATTATCACGCAGATAAATCTTAAAGGTTCGTTTCTCATTTCAATTTCCTTTTCGGGAGACAGATTAAGTCTCATCTTCCGAGTTTTTATATTTCAGATGGCTCTTTGGCCTGCCAATCGTAACTTTTTGTTGACGGCCATAACTCAACTTTTCTCAATTAGCGAATAACCCGGAATATACCATAACGATTTCTTCCTACAAGCCAGTCGCTCTATATTCCCTCTTCTTTCATTCTCATATTCCCACATCACATTTTTGCATTAATCCTTTCATTCCACCAGTCTCACATAATGTCATAATACAAGAAATATTGTTTTGACTTATTAAATTTATGTCAGACTCAACATAAGATATTTGATCTCAAATTTTATTTCTCTGTAAATTTTTTAGGTCGAAACTGGTTAGAGATTTAGACATTTAGATGTTCTAGATAAAATACGAAACTGCAATATAATTGGTCCTGGTCTGGCATATCAGCTTCAGCCAATTTTCCACCGCCGTAATGTAGCTTCCTTGTGCCTTTTCTATAAATATTTCCATGGTAATTGTTCTTATGAACTTTGGCTTACAGCCATATCACGTTGAAACACCAGTTCTCGTACAATCATCGTAGTTAAACAACGTCGAGCTTGGTCAGTACCTAGATGGGTGACCGCTTGGAATACCAGGTGCTGTAAACTTGAATGTGCAGGTGGTGTAATGAATAACGGCTCGGAATTGGAAATCAGAGAGCCGAGATCCAATTCCAGTCGAGTTCGTTATATTCACTTACGCGTAAATACCATTGGGTAAGGTATGAATCCACTTCTCCCCCCAGCTATGGGTTGATTAGTAAATCTTATCTGAGTAAATCATTGTTATCTCTAAAAAAAAATCCTACACTCTAAAAATATTTTCTGGCTTGAAATAACCTGCAAAAAGTTAATAAGACGTAAAAAAAAACACAAATCAATCAGTTTGATAAACTTCCCTGTATGGTACCTAGACTTTATGAATGTAAACGCGGTATTAAATTGGTAGGAAGGTCTCATCATTTTGCAGCGAAAATGGCTAGATGTAACCGAATGTTCTCCAATCATCCGTCCCTTACTAGAAGGATGTCAACCAACCTTTCCAACATATATTTATTGATTATTGTAATAAAGAAGTAATGTCTGATAAAAGGCGTGAATATCCGGTTTCTTTGGGTTGAGGCGCCCCAACCTCCGGCGTCTTCCTCTTTGGGGTCTGAACCGAACTCAGGGGGGTAGCTGGCCGCACGCTCCCTGAGTACCCGTAAATTGTTCGACCGGTCACTGGTTAAGTTCCCCCTACTGCCCTCGTTGTGTTAGTATTTTGATCCAGTAAGCGGGATGTTGTCCATACGTTCACGGTCGATTGGGGATGTAGGCACGGCTGTGAGGGTGGGCGGCAGGAAAATTAGAATGTGGCAAACAAGGAAATAATATCTGCAGAAGCCGAACAACAATGGGTAAAATATTGATGTCTTTTATATAAGAAAACAACAACAGTAGAAAGAGTTTACAGAAAGGATAGAAAAGCAATTAACATAAGAACAGAGGACCACTCCTCTACCAATTATACCAACAGAGAGAGTGGTGTGTGTGTGTGATTAACTCGTTCCAAATCAACTTGGGAGGATATGTGACTCGTAATTCCAGCCCTACGTGGAAGTGTAGCTTTTCAGTTGGTTGTCGTAAGTGACAAACGTTAAGTTTCAGCGACTTTTCAATGCGACTGCTACAACGACGATGATATTTCTTGAAGTCCTTATCTCTGACTCGCCACTGGACCGACTCACTGCAACGACAGTCTCTCTCTCTCTCTCAACGTCACTCTCGTCTAACGCCCAAGTCTCCCCAACTCAGCAAAACTCGCGTTTATATAGCAAACCGAAGGTTATAAGCCAGGTTGTTCATGCGCTTAACACGAGTGTCGCCATAAGCAAAGTTTAAATTCAGATCTATTTCAAATCTCTTAGTGGATAAAATTAATTAGTTCAATGTTCATTTCAATTGTCTTTTCGATGACCAAATTCAGCGGATACAACTTATGTTTAGATCAGATTTCGCTAGTGGTAAACATACACTGATCTTACCTCCCCGGTCCAATTTACTTCAATATGTTTTTATCAAAAATATTATTTTCGTCTATTTTTTTTTTTTTAATGACCCAAATTAAACATCGCCTCCTGCCCTTTTGCATTTGTTTATAAACAAGTCCTCGCCAACCTGATTTGAAATTTATTCTTTATCCATCAGCCGTCTCAGGTTTCATATATCATTGTTCTAGATTCTAGATTTCCTATTAATAGCGCTGACACAGTTTGTAACTTGAATTTTTCACGGAAGATCGTTTGTTTTCCATCTTCAATCAATAAACGTTATATATTACAATTTTTGTTATTGTTGTTTTTCTCTAGCACTCAATATTACTGGTTCCCATATTGTATTCATTTTGATGCTTGTCAAGCTTTGGAGATTTTTGAGGCCTAGCATATATGCTGATTCCTTAAGTTTTTGTATTTTCCAGTCATGTTCTGTCTTTTATTTCAAGCTCATCCCACAGGGTGTGGTGATCTACAAGATAAGGACAACAATCCGAACAATGTAAATAGTGTAAAGACCTTATCTTAGAAATATAGACAAATTCAGGAAATGTCTAGTGCTGTTGTCAACTCTCATGACTTTGTAATTAAGTTATAGATAAATAATATCTACTGCAAAAGAAGGTAAATAGTACAAACATCACTCGACTTGAGGTGAACTGTGGGCGGAAAGAGATTTATCAAAAGTCTCTCGATGAAACTGAATATTTGAAAAACATCTGGAATTTTCCAAGACAATAATTATTCAATAGCAACTGTTTTCAGCTTTATCATTTTTTTTATTCTCTTTTAAATGATCTAATTCCATGTTAATTTAAAAATTCAAATCGTTGCCTTTTGTCACCAGATTTCAGCCAATATGTTTTTTCCACCTTTCTTCGGTGTATAATTCATTATTTATAAATATGTCTACAGAATAAAAAAGGAAGAAAAACAAAGAAACATTCTTAATGAGGAAGGCTGAGGAACACATCGTCCAAAAAGTTATTATAAAAACATGGATAAGGATACTCATTTGAAAACCCTATGGAATAACAATCACTCAATCCACAATTTCAGGCAATTTCCATATGGGATTATTAATGAAATATTTTTCCTTTATTCTGCAATCTGGATTTGAATTATCTCTCGTCACATTTTGGCAGACATATTCTCCCATCTCTATTCTGTTCTGGTCATCCATAATCATCACTTAAGAAAGAATTGTTTGTTTTTTTTGGGGGGGGCAGTTACTGGGCACCATATGATGACAAAAAGATGCACCTGCCCTAGAGGAATGGTTAGTAAGCCAATTCCTCGTGCTTTGTCTGGCACAAGTTTGCAGAAAAAAAGGAAAATTTAGTCAATAAGGCTTGCCAAGTAGTTGAGGTGTTTATTTCCTACAAACATAAATATTTCAAATGTTGATTTGGTAGATTGGCACAGCAAAATCTTCCCATCCTATAAAACATTGCAATAGAGTAAGCTAAATTTACTCAATATCTAGATGGAATAGAATTATGAAAAAAAAAAAACCAAAAAAAAAAAAAAAACCCAAAAAACAACAAAAATTGGAATTTCTTTTATTAGGGGTGGTGCAGCAGAGGGCAAATTGTTGCTTTTCTTGATGATTTCCTGAGGCCCACAAGAGAAGAACAAACATTATTCTTTAAATATTCATTAATAGAATTTGGTAGTTTTTGGGGTTCATGTTGAACAAAATATTAATCACTTCAAAACAGGAATAAAGACAACAAAAGTTTGGCAAAGTTAATCTTCAGGTCTGCAAAAAAACAAAAACAAAAAAGAAAAAACAATGTGTCAAAAGGAAGGTTATTTCACTGACACTGCTATTACACCATTTTTGACTTCTTTGGCAATATTTATTTACAAGATTATAAAAATATATGAACCGAACACAATGTGAGATTTATTTACCATTTTATAAAGAGACAAAAATTTGAAAAGAAATCTTATTCAAAAATTTACTTAAAAAAAAAACAAAAAAAACAAAACTAAAACAGATCCACTGTAATTAAACACAAGGAAAAGTTTGTCCACTCACTGAATATGTAGAAACACATTCAAAATATTGAATGTTTGTAGTCTCGCCTAAAATTTAAAAAATTTTTCGTTTAGAAAAAGAGATTTTAGTGAATTTATATGATAAGAACAAATGAAAAAAAAAAAAAAAAACAAACAAAAAAAACGGAAAATAAGTTTTTCAAAATTTATAAAATAATCACTTGTTATGCATTTATATAAATTTTATTTAGATATTTTTACAAATTTATGACTAAAAATTAAAAATTATTTTCATTTATTCCATTGTAAAATGGTAAGTAATAAATATTTCATTGTGGTTGGTTCACATATTTTATAATCTTGTAAATGTAAAATCATTCCTGCAAATAAACTAAGTGTTTAACATCTTTGTTGTCAATACTCAATAAAAAAAAAAAAAAAAAAAAAAAAAAATATGTAAAAATTGACTTTCATATGTTTGGATTTTACTAAAATTCTAATCCTCACTTTTTAAAACAAACATTGCCGAGGGATTAAAAAACGATATAATAGCGGTGTCAAGGGAATAACCATCCTTTCAGTACACTGGTTTTTTTTTTGGGGGGGGCACCAAGGTTAAACATTGCCAACCGCAATTATCAAGAAATTTGATTCCTACAAAAATTAATTAATAACATATATGTACTACCACATGTATATAAATTGCTACATCCCACCTTTTGCTGATGTCAATACTCGATCAAGCAGTGTAAACATAGGGATCTAGGTGCCTATGTGTCTGTAGAATGTCATTTCTGCATTTTACTACAAACATCTCACATGATTTATCAAGAATTTCTTATTGTCAAATATTTTTTTGCAGATCTACAAATCTGATTAATAATAATGAATGTATTTAACTAATTTCTCATCCATTTTTGCAACCTGTTCACAAAATGTGTCTAAGTAAATATATATAAATAACAGTCACATATAGGACTTGTTATTGTCCTATGACTTACTTTACACAGGGCCAACAATGATTTAGCCCTCCAGTGTGAGGAGGGGCGATTTACTGACTGGGGTCTTCCATGCATGTCAAAATTTAAGTAATTTTCCACACACCTACAAAATGACAAAATTCCTAGTTTTGGACTTGACGTTTTTCTTTTTCCTGTTACCATTCATTTTATTGAATCAAATTTAATCTTTGTTAAATAATTGCAAGGCAAGTTTTGTGACGTTTATGAACAGATTTTGTTTTTTTCTCCAGGAATATCAGTTGAGTTAACTGTAAGAATCTCAAGTCAGAGACAATATGAAGAAAAACGAAAATTTATTAGGTAAACATTTACAAATTAATGGAGGAAATCAAGCAAACTTTTCAAGAAAATAAAATGTGGAATCTATTGGAGGGGGGGGAGAGATTGGCAACACAAGAAAAGGAAAGCAGGGGAAGAGGGGATTTCTGAGGGATAAGGTTAGATGGTTTTTTAAGGCTTATCAACTTTGGCAGGTTATGTAAAGCCGGAAAATAGTTTTACATTCTAAAAATTTTTTGGAGATAATAATGATTTAATGTTACAA